ACAAAGAAAAAATGTTTTCTGTCATATCTCAACAGCAAATTAAATTTTATACTCAGTTTAGAAGTTAGTAAAGTCCCACTTTCTTGTCTTGTATAGGATGACCAAATTCGGTCTGCGCATGCGTAGATGTATTTTTTCATTCTTTACCTGGCAGCATGTCTACCTTATTAATCTTTAAACTAAGAATAAGGTCTAATTTTTGTGACAATTAAGAAAAAAATATATTTCCATCATAGGAGTAAATGTAAAACATTTTGAAATGCGGATAAAATGCTTTACTTTACTCCCTTGGTGCGAAATGTATTATTTACCGAACGCAGCAATTAAAAAATCAGTTTTTGTGTTACAATGACATAATATCAATATAATTGATGCATATTTATGTTTATTAAATAAATTCATAATTATTTTATTATAAAACTAATCGATTTATTATGATAGAGATTATATTAAAATTTTTTCCTAATTGAGTTGAGGTTAAGTAGCATTGTGAGATTGACTCTTATTCATTGTTAAAAAATATTTAATGCGATTAAATTAAAAAATGATGGAAATGATTGTTACCCTCCATCAATAAATCATCTTTCAACGATTGTAAATCTGATATTTTCACAATTTATTGTTGATCTAGAAAATGTTATTCGGAGGCGAGGATACTTACTTCACATTAATAATTATTTTCTGTCGATAATTATAATAGAGAATGCTCGGAAAATCAGTCATCACCTTGATGATTTTTTTCACTCCCTATTCAACCTACATGAATAATTTACATTTATCGACGATACATTAGCGTGCCAATGATCGGTATGCAATTTCAATTTCTTAAGATCAGGTATAATAAGTATGTCACATTGGTTCGCACAGATTTAAATCAATCTCAATTACATTTCTTATAAAATATTCTCAACACCCTCACTCTTATTCTAAATCATTTGTTTCTATATGTTGCACTGGTTTTTTTCTGTATCTAATCTGTGTTCATTCATGAGGTTGTACATTATTACTTCTCACCTGTGATTAATGATTTCATGAGTAATTAAAATATGAAAACAAATATCTCTTATCTACGTACACTCAAGGAAACATACATAAAGCATTAAATATGATTGCAGACTAATCAACCAAGGAAAAATAGATGTTTAAATTTAATTATATGATTGAGTATAATTAAACAGTAAACTAGCATAGATTTATTGCCCATTTTCTCTGAAAAATGGTAAATACACGAAAAAAAAATTATCCTTTATCTCAAGTAACCTTGAAGACACAACAACATAAAGTTGTTTCAATGCAACACTAATTTTACACTAGCAAGAGTTGTGTCTGTATTTCACACTTAATTGAACGAAAAAAGGGTTCTGAAAAATATTGACACATTTCTTTTTTGTCTTATGTTGATAATAAAATTGCATTAAAGTAATTTGATCGACAAGAATGGTGTATCATGACACGTGTTTATGGTAAGATTGGATCAATTTAGATGAATTCACGCGAAACGAGCAGTAGTAAAGATACGAAGAGTATAGAGCGCAATGTAGGGACAAGATAAGAAGCTACAAGGGTTCTTAGGTCCTAAGGACAGTCTTTCTCGGAAGCGACTTACACAGCTAAAGTAATAGTGAGCCTGGCGGACATTGCTGGAATCTGTCGGCAGAAAGAGTCAATACTCGTTTCTCTCCAGATCTTTTGCTCTCGCCTTGAGCCCCAGTAATTTCAGTAAGTACACACTGAAACCCATCATACCTTCGAGCAAACTTCTATTCATGTGCCGCAAGGATAAGAAAACTTTAATAGTCCCACCTTTGGGCTAAGGCGGCTGAACAAAATCAAAACTTTAGCAACGTCCTGCTTCTGATGGTCACCATAAAATTTTTTAAATTATTATTACTTCAAGTCACCCTCTTACTCTCTTATTGGACAGTGAACTTGGGTGTCGTTTCACGTGTACTACCAGTTATTTCAAAGTCATTCAGTAAATGGACAAATAACGAATAAAAAAAATTTAATGATTTTTCAAGTGAAAAGTAGCAAGGTTAAATATTAAATATAATATATACCAACTTAAACAATTGACTAAGTCGATTCACACCTGAGTATAATTTCAAATGAATGAAGAATTATTTTTACTTGAGTATAATCTCGCGTATAGTTTTACAGCTCAAACAATAAATTGTAGCAATGAATCTCAGAAGTAGACAGTTAAGACTAAGCCTTAGTGCAGTTGGCGATTCACCGTCGAACGCATTATTTATTGTGTTGCCTATCGAGTCGGAAATCGCTGGTTTTACTGCGAACACGAGGCAACTCTCGAGAGTCTCTCGGATAAAATAAAGACTCACTACACAGTAGAGAAGATGTCATTGTTTTTATTTCTCTTTTTTCGTTTAATAAGAAGTCTTCATTGATCACGACAATATAACATAATTTAGCTTCCATTTCATCATATTGTAAAATAATGGAACTAGAAAAGATAATAAATAACGAAAACTTTATTCAAAATGGCAGAAAAGATTTTATAAGAAGGAAAAGCCTTCTAAAATAAAAAAAAAATGCTTTTTAAAATAAAATACAATACCGACACTAATGAAATTCGAATAGAAAATATGATATTTTTATTCTTTCCACTGGGAAGTTCATCGTTTGGACCTTCTCGGTCGCACCTAGACCTCTTTTTAACCTCTAAAGCAACTACTGAATTAATAAATCAAGACCTTATGCATAAATAAAATAAAAAATGTAATGCAATACAGCGGAAAATGTAGAGATAAATGAAACTGTTATTGAGAATTAATATTGGCAATATGGTACAGGTGGAAATTTGAGAAGTAGTCAAGTAATTATTGCTAGACGGTTTCTGTATGAGAAGAAATGGTAGGAGATAAACAGACACGATGATATGTTTCTAATGCAAAGATTACAGCTACGAGATGCTTCTGATCCGACACGGTTCTATGACGACGTAAAGCGCTTGGTAAAGTACCTCAACGGCACCTTGTTAGTACAGAACATGGTAGGTAGGTAGGTGATGGTTACGTTCTGCCTGGTTGGAACTGCGTAAACCACTGGCGTGGCTGCTGCATTTGTTTAATGTTTCCTAGCTATCAAACACTATAAACGACATGATAAAAAATCCCTCAAGTAGTTTATATGACTGATAATAAAGTAATTATGAACTTAATGTTATGTATTAATATTTTTTGGAACAGATAAATTTACTTTACTGATAAATACTAATCAATTGATTTGAAAGTGCTATTACGAGTTTAAAACTCGTTTTTTCCATGAAATATTAATCAGTTGTTAAGTGTTATAATACCGTCAAGACATCAAAAAAATGATGCCTACGCAATATCTAGATATTTATTGATGAAAAAAATAATCCTATTTTTAATTATTAAGAATTTTTATTTATATTTTTCCTTCTTTTTGGAGTAAATTAATGTTAATGTATCTGACACGTGTGTTACAAGTAAGAGCAATAACGAAATCACATTCTCTTTCAAAGTCTTAGTAATATAATACACAATTCTTTTTTAGAAATATGCGAAAACAAGCAAAATGACGTCGTGGGATCGTCCTTATCTTTACTCCCGCGGCCCCTATTGTTTTAAACCACCTCGTGGCTTAAAAACACTTCTTTACTTCACTCTACAAAAACAACTATCGAAAGTGATTTTTCAAGTATATTTTTATCCTATGTAATTCAAGGTTTTTACATTGTTTTCATTATTAAATTTGTTATTTAAAAAATGAAAAATAATTGGACTTGGTTCACTTGATTTAGGATAAAAAAATTGCACATTCATGGAGAAAATCCTTGGTATTTTTTGAAAGGAAAATAAAATTAAAAAAAAAAAAACAAGATACAATAGTCATTACCTCGTTAAGAATCATACATTAAAATATCGCGAGAGTTATCGCTTGACATCTGAGTTTCGTAATGATTCTCTGTCTGCGCACGCGCATTATTTTCGCAAGACAATTCTGGAGTATTATAGAATTTCATCAAACAAAAGGGATACCTTCATTGTTGTTCTTTTTTCAACATCTACAGTTAATTATTGAGAAATAAGACAAACAAAATTCATTTATTTTATTTACTCATCTTTACTTAGTAGATAAAATTACGAATTTTGAAAAAAAAACCGGACATGCGTACGTACAAATATACGCACGTACATAAATCTATTTTTAAATCTTCTCATGTGCTTTTAAATGTTTCAAACGTAACGATATGCTAAGATGACGAATTAAAAAAATCGACCCCATTACAATAACTTCCTAATGGGAAGTTAAGAAGTAAAATGAAAAAAGAAGATAAAATATAGTTGTCACGTTTTATCCATCTGCTGAAGTAAAAAATGTATAATCGAATGAAACACGCAGGTACGATCACGAATAGCGGGTCACGAATTGAAAGGAATCAATGGGCCAATGCCGGAGGGAGTAATAGATTGCGGGGGCGGTTGTTGGTGATGGCAGAGGTCAAACAAGGTCATGCGTTATATAGGGGAAAGTGTGTAGTAAAAGTTTAGCCAACACGACATGCACATGCATGCTTGGAGAATAAACGAGATAAAGTGGCGAAGGCGCGCGTGCTGCTGCCACCTCTCCAGCGATGCATCTAATTGCATTGAGGGGAGGTGACGGCACGAGTAGTGCCAGTATATATCGTGGAACAGGTCCTTCTACTAAGCCTAAGAGAGTGTCACCGCAAGAGTCTACAGAGACATACCACCTAGCACCAACATCACGAAATATCGCTCACGCCTCTCTGATTGCCTCGAGTCAGCTTTCCAAAGACACCCGGTCATTTATACTCTGTCATATATTGCATCTACTGGAAAATATCAACATATACTCATTCACCAACAAGACCTGGCGATTTATCGTCCGCGATTCCGTCCTGTTACGTACGCTTCCGTCTCGGCCTTCAAGCCACAGTCAATTGGACAATTGAGATGATGGTTATGTTCATCAACAGAAATATCATCATCTGTAAATATATATCGTATATTTATTGTTTAAAAATAAGTAACAAATATTGTTGGATTGTTAAACTACTGTGCAACTGATGGCATCATTGGTGATTTTATTTCATGATGATTTCTTCTTCAATGGAATAGGATATAATTTTATTGTTGCTTTTTCATAGCCCCACTTGGTCCACGCGAGTATTGGAAAATATTCACCAGACCACAGAGTTATTTTTACACTGCAATTGACTAAATACCTCACTAAATGTTGGATGTATGGAACACCTTTCAATAAATAATTACTGTCATTATTTTATATATCTTTATGACTTCCAGACTAATTATTATGATAGTCATAAACTTACCAAGTAAATAAAAAATTGATTTTCTTATTGAATAATTCATTTGACTAGACCAATTCATTACTTTTTCATCTGTAAAAATGTCATTAAATGAATTTTTTATTCATTAGTTTAATTAAATATTATAAATATTTAATTACTAGAGAGTTTAGTTTCAACTAACATTTCAAACCATGCAAATCATACCAAAGTCTCATGGTAGTATCATAATCAATACCAATATCAATATACCAGAAACCATCAACGACAGTTTTTGTCATGGTCTTACATTCTTCTGACATTTTATTAATGTAATCAACCAACGAATTGGTTAATACTCTTTTACATAACTCTGTCGTTTCAGGAACATTTTTGCGACAGAGATTTAATCTACAAAACATAGTAATTAGAAACAAAAAAATCTGCTAACTCATTTATCTAGCTATTTACTTGTTAGGGATCCCAAGTAAATATCCAACAACTCTCCACAAATGAACGAAACCTTCAAGAAGCTCAGGATCATTAGAAAATCCTAGTTGCTTTGAGTTCAGTAATACATAGCCAATGAATCCAAACTGGGTTAGCACCATGTCATGCTGTGGAATTTGACCAATACCTTTTTCACCAGACTTTTTGCTCATTGTTGCATGCTTCCATCTTATTGTGTTCAAAGATTTCCACCATCTATTAATAACATCATATTAATCATTATAACCAGTTTTTCATTAACACTTGAAGACAATCAATTAGTTTGAACATACTTTGAGTCTGGATTTTTTATATTTTCCAAGTGCAGAGTATGAACGTGTATCATGGTTTGTAAGTATCTTTTGAAGGCTGCACATGGACTACTACTTTGCTTGGTAAATAATAAAACCTGCAATATCAATAATTGATCAAAGTCGATGAATATTAGAAAAATGGTCTTCTATGCTTACATCTAGAGTGGCTGGAAGTGTGAAGACACTCAAAAGTCCCATGAATTGAGCTGCTGTTATCGAAAACATGTTTCGACGTACATATTCTTGGCCTCTGAAATAAAAAGTTGATTCCATTCACGAATTAATCAGGAATAAAAGTCATAATATTTTAGGAGGTACTTACTTCTTGAATAGCTTTTCATCATACCACTCTGGCAGATCTTCAATTGATAACACTGATGGTGTTGGATCAATGGACTCTTTACTTGATGCAATATTTTTGTAATGCAAATCAACATTTACAGGTGACACTGAAAGAAAGGATAATCATATAATCATCAATAAGCAAACTATTCAGCTGTACTTGTACATGAAATAATTACCATTGTCAGAATCTCCTTCTCCAACCATTATTACTATAAAACCTTTAATCAAGAAGTTACGCTACTTGTTATACAACACGTAGTATATTTCACCAAGAATAAAAATAATGTCAGATTATTTACATTTAATTCAGCAGAAATTTGATGATAAACAAGCAATTAATCTTCTTGAATAATCTTATCACTGCTTTTAAGTCAAGTTGGTACTATTTTTTGTTATTTTTTTTTTAATTTTATTTACACAAATTTTATTTTTATTATGACGCTTCTTATCAAACCCTATGTTTGACATGTGCACTCGTCTGCAGACATTGAATGAATGCATGACTTGACGAGAATTTAATCGTTTTCATCCTACTTGATTATATAAAAAAATTTATTCTTATTTATGGCGACGATTTCAACGAAGAAGTGAAAGTGAAAGTCGCCCAATTGGTAACCATAAAAAAAGAATATGTTATTTGCCAAGAACCTGACCATTTTTTTTTTGCTTTTCTTTCATTTCTAGAAGTCAAAAAGATTATTAAATAAATGAAGCATCAATTAGTGCTCTTGATCAAATTAATTACACAGCAGTAGCTAATTTTCTGAAATTGGTTGATGCTGAGGAATTAATTTGCAATAAAAAGAATTTCATTAGCTGGGTTTTGTATCAATTCAAATGAAATTCATCATCAAAACAATGCTCATAAACGTAACAATCGATCGACAATACATAAATTATTCAATTTATCAGCATAAATTTTTCGCAGTATCTATTTATACAATAATGTAAACGTTAAAATAGCTAAATGTATGAGTGCGAATAATGTAGTATTGCGTGCTTGGGAACTCGACTCGTGGCTCGTCCTTGACCAGGTCTATCGTGTGACCGATCTTTGCGCATCACAATAGTCAGCAAACGTCACCATCACTGTATACCTCGATGTAACATCACTGACATTTTATCCCTATCTTCCTCTTGCTCTCCAAACATGTCTCGTTTCCGTTTCTATTTCAATTAATCCCTCTTAATCCTGATGATGACTTGGGATAAAAGAGAGAGAGAGAGAGAGAGAGAAGAAAGAGTAAATAAAAATTCGCGTAAGAAATAAATAAAAAAAAACACCAGGAGTCGAATGAGAGTCCCTGAGTTGCGTTAAAAATAGTGGGAGTAATGTAAGTAGTGACCGAGAGTTGGGAGGGGAAGAGAGGGCGAGTAAGGGACTGAGACAATGGAGCATTAAAGCAACGGCGCGGTTTTCTAGACAGGAAATTACAGGGATCACGCGGAGATTGACAGAAAAACGGCTCTGACGTTTGTATAGATAGCAATAAGCTCTTTTAGAGTATGTATTCATTCGGTCGACACTCAAGTGTAATTTTGAGGTTAGACTACTATACAGAGTTCGGTATTAATATTTTTTTTTCTGTAGTATTATTGGACAAAATTATCAATTAATTCTGTACACTACAAATTAAGATAAATTCAAGTGTTTAATAGTAACACACTTGAGTGCTTACAATTCTAAACACTATAATCAAACTAGCATTTTGGTAAACGCCAAGAAACGTTTAAAATTCGTCTACTGAAGTGCTATAGTTTGTTGATGGCGTTTAACATTGTAAACACTTTAAGTGTATAGTTTCTAGACACTCGGATTGACAATGTAATAAATAATTTTGAAAATGAAAATATTGATTACTGAATCATCATTAATGTATAGAATTAAATTATCAATGAATAAAGTAATTTGTCATTTCTTGAATCCAATTACAAATTAACGAAGTAATTTATAATTTGATTCATAAAATTACTTTTGTAATTGATAATATTTAGGATGAAATTAAAAATCACAGAAGTAATTAAAAATTTTTTTTTTTTTTTCAATTCATTGAATACCAAAGTAATTGATAATTCAACGATTTAAATGACTAAATTAATAATTAGTAATTTCACATGGATAAAATTGAGATTTTTTTTTTTTTTTGATAACCTCATTACGTTATCACGCAAGTGATAGAATAATATTGTAATATTTGTATCACTGATTTAACTTATGTTTCAATGATAAATAATGTAGTAAGTATCAGATGAAAAAAGGTTGAAAATAGTTTTTGATAAGTCAACGACCTTCCCGGACACACCTGACGAGATATTCTGAAGCTCGTGCTCAGAGAATAGGGGACTGACCTAGAGCAAAAGGCGCCTGTAATAAATTCACCGCGGGATATCTCGCGATAGGTGACTGGGTGATGGTTGTTACTTATATGATGCTTTTTGCCTGCTTCTCTTTGGTTTTAAAGCCGCGTGAGACTGCTAATAAAGTCGGGGGTGGAGTGGTCGAGTATTGAGCAGGATATTGGCAGCATTAAGTATAAATGCAAGCGAGAGATTTATGCGCGTCGTGCGGATGAGCGAGAGAGTAAGAGAAAAGGAGGACAGAGGGATGATGATCGAGATATCGAGATAGAAGCAAGCAGAAAGAGCGAGAGGTAAAAGGTTTACTGCAAAGGGGCGGCGAGGCAAAATACGCAGAGAATAGGAAGGGATGAGGTCGCCGCGGGCTTTCATGGACCACACGGGGAGATCGAGAAAGAGAAAGAAAGTATCAGCTTGTTCGTGGGGGGCCCTAGTTTCTTCATGTATGCACTTCATTTTTAACTATATTCCAAAGTCTTAGTTTTGTTATCATATATTGTATCATTACAACCAATTATTTTGTTCAATTATTTTTTGGAAATTTTCTGCTTCTTCGTCATGTTGAGTTCACTGCAACGTGAGAATTTCCGTTCACAGATCGCCACTTGCTGGAGATCTTATCTCATAATCACTGCCTCCAAATTATCGCCACGAAAATGTATGCCTTCAGGAAGTATTAAATTACGGTATATTTAAATAATTAATTATTTTAAATTAACTTCTTTTTTTTTTTTTTTAATCTATAAAATTGAATTCTTTTATTATTATCATTATTTATGTTCTATTATACTGTGTACTTATTGATTTCTACTGACCTTCGGTGTTTCGAAATAAATTTATAAAGACAAGCGTAGCAGATTGAGACATTTAAACGAGGAATCGAGATCGAGAGAAAATCGACACTAAATTAGACACGTTCTAATTTACTTTTTTTTTTTTGTATATCTTAGTCAAAGTATCTATAAGTAATTTTCTATGCAATTTTTTATTTGCTATTTCAGTGAATAAATCAGGTATTACTAATCTACGTAATTAATTTTAAAAATTAAATAATTAACAATTCAAATGGCTGTGTAGAGTTTTAATAACAAAAAAAAAAAAAATAATAAAATTGTGGAAAATACTTGGAGGAATGCCAAGCTGGGAATTAAATCATTGATTTATTTTTATCTTAACACAAACTTGCAGATCGAGTACACCAGTAGCATAACACATTAATTGTGAGAGTGAGATGAAGAGAAAAAAAATTGTTAAGTGATAACTTTTGGTCTAATGTTAACAAGAAGGCTAATGAAGAAGAGTTATTGATCTCAAGTTAAAAGGAATTATTTAAATAATTTAATTAATTAATACATATTAATAATTGTGTATAAAATAGCTGACATGATGTATGTATGTACATAGCTCTAATGACAAGAAAAATGATGGAAATTGAAAGTCATGAACATTGCGATCATATAATTATTTATCTTCCATCAGTGAATTATATTTTTTTTTTTCATTCATCAACAATTTCAAAAATGATAATTCATTCATTGTGTGATTGGAAAAAAAAATTTGAATAAAAAAAATCACAAGTTCGAATACGATATGAGTGTCTAAAGGAGTACGCATTGGATTTGATTGTTTGCATCCAGACATCCAGGAGTTACGGGGGCACGCACTCGAGCGTGAGATGCGCTACAAAGTCGCCCGGGTTTGCCAATCGACGGTTGTATCTGAGTAAATGCGAAGGCGGAGGTTGAAGGGAACGGGGCAGGAAACGATTTGTGTTGTATCTTCTCGTCCGGTCGAACAATACCATCGTGAGTCATCCTACCGATTCTACAGAGAATTAAGTGTCAGAACTACGTCGTTTTTTTTTATCGTGCGAGAAAGAAAAAATATACCAGAAAAAAAATTATCTCACTAGTATCATTGAAAAGACAATCAAAAGAATTTGATTCTTACTATTTTCATATCATAATCATAAGTTCGTTATTTAAGGTTGTTCGATCATTAAGCGAATTTAAAGATTAATCTCTAAAAATGGCAAAAGTGATTGCTAATAATTCAAAGAATTCACACGGAGAGAAAGAAATTGTAAATTTTACTCCAAAAAATAGTAGTCTGTCGCTTCGGGTACAAAAATGGCAATAAGCAATTGTTTGATTAGTATACATTACAACTGTTTCTTGTAAAACTTTTATTACACATTCAAATTGTAATATTTTATATTTATTTTTGTATGATTTAAAATTTTGATTCATAATAAAATTTTTACAAGAAAAAGTTGTAATGTATGCTAATCAAACAATTGCTTATTGCCATTTTTGTACCCGAAGCGACAGACTACTATTTTTTGGAGTAAAATTTACAATTCCTTTCTCTCCGTGCAAGTTTACTTTATTAATAAATTTCATCGTTTAGTTTAGCAATAATAAATGTATAAAGTTCAATTAAAAGTTAGGATAAACACTAAACCCAATGGCACCAATAAATCCAGATTTCTCATAAACAAAACGGTCAAAAGTTTCATAATTTTATTTAATTTAATATCAAATATTGTCATTTATCTTTAAAGTAAATTTTAATATAGGTTTGCCCTATACTATTGTTCATGATCGAACAACCTTAAAATATAAAATTAAGAAATAGATTTGAAAATTGATCAATAAACATTGAATTTTTGTTTAAGAATATTTTTTATTATAACTAACAATCCACGAGGATTAAACAAATTCAAATGTACGATGTAAGATTGATTTGATTTGGTATATCATAATAATAATTACAGCTCATGGATAAGAAGTACGGAGAGAATGAGTAAAGAGTATAAAGGGTTTTCTGTGGTTACAAGTGCGTCGTTGCGGTTAAAACTCGTAACACGTCACGTCTCTGATCAGAGCAAAAGTAGCAGCCACTTCTTAACTGCTTACTTGATAGATATATAATATACCTGTTTGGTAGTCTCTTTCTCCTTTACACACGCATTTATATCCTTTAGTCAGGACACAACCGAACGTCAATTATTATTGTTATAGTGAGACCGCAGCACTTGAATAGTTCTCTTGACCGGATTTAGCGGCTCGAATCTCTCTCAAAATCATCTCCCTCACTTGTAATACTTTTGCGGTATTACTTCGAAAGAACAATCGTTTGCCACCACCACCAATCGATGATATTAAAATAACAAAATGAAGCAAATTGGAGTTTTCAAAGTATCTAATACTTGCATTGTCATTATTTTATGTTATTTAAGTCATTAAAATTCTTAAGAAATTAAAACGTCATATTTTCTAGTCCTTGAACACCTTGTGACGGTCTATATCTTGAAGGATGTTATCGTCTTCCGCTCTACTGTCGTCACGAACCTCATGACTCACTCGATTTGCTTCTGTTTTCATATTTTAACACTGTAGTCAATTA